TCTCCAGTCTCTCCAACCCGGGGGGCCCAGCTCTGCCTGCTTTCCTCTGATCTGCACACCCACAGCCATTCCGAGCCTCATTCCTGGTTGCCTCTGACAAGGCACTCCATCCTGGAATGGGATGATGAGGGAATGGCCTGCCTGTGGGCTGTAGGAAATTGTTTGGTCTGTTCCTGCCCAGGCAACCACAGGGGGAATTGAAATCCAATCAATTGCTATTGGGCTTATTGGTAAGCTTATAGTTTTGCATGGTGTTTGAGTGATGTCAACAGTCTCCAAATGACCCTTGACAAAAGAAGAGGCTTCCTGGCCCTGAGCCAAGATGGAATCAGGGCACGGGGATTTTCTGGGAAAGAGGATGGAGGGAGGACTATGGCCACTGCTGTCAATCCTCAGGGGTGTCTCTTAGGAGAAGGGGGTGCCTTTCCATTCTGCAGTGAAGTTGGGGGTGGCCAGTGTGTAGCTGTGCCTGGTTCTTCTGGTTTCTACCTCTGTGGATGCCAGGAGGGTAAGCAGGTGCACATGGCAGAGCCCCAAGCCCCGTGACTCATCTGTACACTGGGGATTAGGTAAGCGTCTACTTGCATTGATCGTGCGTGGGCCATTCAGAAGGTGTCCCACACAGGAAACGGGCAGGCTCTGGTAAACTTGCATGCTAATCTGAACTCTATTGCGTGACTCTGCTGGAGTTTCCAGTCTCTCTGAGTCCCAGCATCCTCACCCATGAAACAGGGATAGCAGTACGGCCTTCAGGGTGCAGTTGTGATAACTAAATGAGATAACAGCCCAAACCAGCAGAGAACAAAGGCTGCGACAATGGTAACGACTGTGAATGGAATTTGATTTTCGACATCTGAGCTCCTTCCTGCTCCCTTCCACCCACTGCCTAGAGAGCTGGCCGGGTTGTGGCCTCCAAGTCCCCAAGCAGACCCCAGGGAAGTGAAAGTGCTGAGACCTGCTGAGAAACCTCAAGAAGTAACCACGGCTCAAGTTGCCTAGCAGAGGAATGTAAGGCTGGAAAGACTTTTATGTCTTCTGACTCAGCAACTTCCTTCTGGAAACATCTTCTCAATTACTACCCAACAAAAGACAAACACGATCCAGACACAACACAGCTGATAGAGTTAGCCAAGACGCTGCAAGGGGGTGCTGTATTTTGTGTTTCAGGACAGGGGAGAAAGGTGAGCCCTGCTCAGCAGAAGAACGAAAGGTATAGAAAGGCCCAGGTTGGATTTAGAGAGGGTGAAGCAGCAGGCACAGGCTGTGAACAGAAGAGGAGGTTGGGAATTCATCGTGTTCGTTACAAGCTGTGAGGATGAGGATGGTGGCGGTGGTGGTAGAAGTAAGTGCTGTGTTCGCCCTGCTTCCAATGAGGAAGGAGAAGGTGGGGGGCTGAGCAGCTTACTCCAGGTTAAGCAGCTGGGCGGTGTGGAGGGCAGGCCATCGTCCTGGGCAGTCTAGGTTTGAGAGCCATCTTCCCCCGGCTTCTTCGCCTCCAGGTTGGGATACAGCCCCATCGACACTGTTCCTGTGATGGCATTCTCTTGCTGGGTGAGGCGAAATGCAGTGTGTTATGTGTGTGTCACCTCCAAACCCCAGAGCTTTCAGAGAAGGGAGGGACGCTGGCCCTGTTTTGCAAATGAGAGACCAAGATTGGTGCAGATGAAGCGACAAGGTGCACCTGACCCCAAATGCAGCCTGCCGAGTGTTTCCCTCAAGGCCTCCGGACCAGGCCTGGGGTTCTAAGGCATCTTCTAGTGATAGTTTTTTGTTGTTGTTTTGTTTTGTTTTTTGTTAAGTTGTTGTTTTTTACTTGATGATCAGAGAGAGAAGAGGGAGAGACAACTTCCATCTGCTGATGCACTCCTCAACGCTAAAACAGCCAGAACTGAGCTTGTCTGAAGCCAGGAGCCAGGAACTTCTCCCAAGTCTCCCACACAGATGCAGGAGCCCAAGCACTTAGGCCATCCTCCACTGCTTTCCCAGGTGTCGTCATGGCAAGCGGGATGGGAAGTGGAACAGCTGGAATTCATACTGGTTGGTGCCCATATGGGATGCCAGCGCTGCAGGTGGCGACTTGACCCACTATGCCACAGTGCCAGTTCTTGATGCTAGGATTTTTAAGGCCTCTTGGCAGCATCCATATCATCTTTTCTCCCATGAGAAAAGCCTTTTGGAATCCACAAAGGGTTTGTGCCTCTGTTACTTTTGCTCCTGCCTACATGATACCAAGGACGGCGGGGAGTTGGATTCTGCAGACAGCCTCATGCCTCGCCAAGGGCCCTGATCTAGGAGGCAGCACTCAGGGTAAAGTGCCACCTTGATAAGGTATATGGCGATGGTTGTGGAAGGTGGGCGAGGGCGGTGTATCTGAGAACACACCAGCAGAGGGCTCTGGAGGCGAAGTGTGTCTGTGATGCTGTTGGTAGGAATGCTGACCCTCAAACTCCCTGTGTTGTATCCATTCAACACATGTGCCTCATTACACATCCTATTCAAGAGTGACGATGCTTTCTAAAATATTTTCTTCATGCGGCATTTGGTCATTTGAAAGGTCTTCTAACTTAATGCCTGCCACAGCCAAGCACTGAGCCTGGCCAAATCTCGGCGCCTGGAATTCCATCTGGGTCTCTTGTGTGGGTGTCAGGGATCCGAGTACTAGGACCATCAGCAGGGGAATTAGCAGGAAACTGGAGAAGAGGCAGAGTTACCAGGGCGCTAACTGGCACTCCTATTTGGGATGCAGTGTCCCAGGCGGCAGCCTAACTCTCTGTGCCAAAGCACCCGTTCCTCAGTCAATAATTACAAAGAATATGTTGTTTAATATTTGCCTGTAGATTGCTTCATTCTAGATAAGGTAGTCAATTGACTGATTCAAGGAGTCAAGGCAAAAAAAAAAATCGGATTTGAAAGGCACATGGTCGGGGAGGGAAGGCGGGTGGAGAAAGAAACAGCTTCCAGCTGTGACAGAGGTACAGTTTCTGGCTGGTAGTGAAGGGTTCAGCCTTGGACCTGGCACGATGGCTCAATAGCTAAATCCTCACCTTGTAAGTGCCAAGATTCCACATGGGCACTGTCTTGTGTCCAGGCTGCTCCACTTTCCACCCAGCTCTCTGCTTGTGGCCTGGGAAAGCAGGAGAGGATGGCCCAAAGCCTTGGGACCTTGCACCCTGTGGGAGATGCAGAAGATGCTCCTGGCTCCTGGCTTTGTATCAGCTTATTTCTAGCTGTGACAGCCACTTGGGGAGTGAACCAGCAGACAGAAGATCTTTCTGTTTTTTCTTTTCTCCCTAAATCTGGTCTGCCTTTCCGATAAAAATAAACAAACCTTAAAAAAGAAAAAAGGAAGTCAACTTCAGCACTGACCTTGAACAGCTACCTGCAAGTCCCTGCCTTCTGTGTCCAAGGTTGTCCTAGGTGCCCTGAGGCTGACATCTCTAAGTGTTGCTGATGTCATCAGCTTTTTCTCCCAGAATGGTCACCTCCTCTGCTTCTGAGGGTTCCCACAGGTAAACAGGGATGGGTCTTGCCTTGGTTAAGCTGGCAGCACACATCATCTGCCTTTGATGATTCTTTGATTTGTCAAGTCCACACGAGGGAGCAATTTAGCAGAAGCGAGCTGTACTACAGTGAAAGCTGTACATCTGTGCGTCTATCCATTGCGAATTTGTCAGATAAACAGCAGAGCTGCATAATGGAATATGAAGGTAACTCGGCCAAAGAATATATAGAAATATGTTCAAGGTGGGTCAGTGGTGAACAGACAGGATACTAAGCACTACATAAGGGGCCAGTGGTGTGCTGCGGCAGGTTCCTGCTTGTAATGCTGTTATCCCACGTGATTCAAGGCCTGTTGCTTAGCTAATGCACCTGGGAGACTAGCAGAGGATGGCCCAGGTACTTGGGTCCCGGTCACCCATGCTGGAATCCTGGATGAAGGTCTGGGCTCCTGGTGTCAGTGGAAGATGGTGGCTTTGAGGTTGTGAACTAGCAGATGGGAGATCTCTCCGTGTCTTTCTCTCTCTCTCTCTCCTCTCTGTTATTCTGCCTTTAAAATAAGCAAACAAGTATCTCTTCTGTAAAAATACTATATAAAGCATCTGCCAATGTGGTCAGGGGAGGATATAGAGACAGCAGACACACACATGCTTGCATATGGGCATGAGGTCTGGAAAAAGCTTGTAGAAAATGGATACATTTGTTTGGCTATAAAGATGTTGCAATACACACCTACAAGGAATCTCAAACAAATTTGTGGGAAAGAGAATTATGAGAATTATGAAAAAACTAACATATGGATTTGAGATATTTCACACAAACTTATCTTTTATTTTCCATGAAGTTCTTGAAGTACGTTTGTATGTGCTAGAAACAGACAGATTTGGCACTAAGCTCAAAGGACGAGCACCAAAATGTTCATAACGTCACAGGTCATTTCAGAATTCCTGGTGTTTGTCCACATCTTCTACACTGAGTAATGTTTATGAAAAAAAGAAAAGGAAAAACATAGGCTATCACACAGGTGTCTGGTCCGGTGATCGGGGTGTTGTCTAAGAGGCCAAGGTCAAGGTCCTGCATCAGAGGACCCAGGTTCAGTTTCTACCTTGGGTTCCTAATTCCATTTCCTGCCCATTCAGACCCTGCAAGGCAGCAGTATTGGCTCAAGTCTGTGGATCCTGCTACCCACACTGGGACTCCTGGATGAGCTCAGCTCTGACCATCAAGGGTATTTGGGGAGTAGCAGCACCCCATCTCCCTTCTCCTTCCTCTTCTCAAATAAATACAATTATATTTTTGGAAAAGTATTCATGAGATTTCCTAGCACCACAAAAAGAGGAAGCAAAAAAAAAAAAAAACAAAAAACAAAAAAAAAAAACAGCATTGTTTCTTGGGGCTAGAGCAGGTGGGGGGCGGGCTGTCCCGGGTTGGGGCTTGTCTGATATAAGAGGGTTCACAGCCAGGGACTTCCAGCCGTGGCTGCCCTGCTCGGTACTGGGCTCATGGAGCTCCGTCTGCTGTGTGGACTGGTGCTGCTGGCTGGTGAGGGGGGCCCTTCGGCTGGGAAGGGAAGGCCCTGTGCTTGCTGCCTTTAGGCTGGGCTGTGGCTGCTGTGGTACCTGGGGTCCTATCTTCCTAGTGCCCGATTCTTTCTGCCTTTTGTGTGGAGCTGCCAGGCCCCTGGGACGTGGCTTTAGCCAGAGAGCTCAGGTGACCCCCTCTGGCTGCTATGAACTGGGCCCCTTGGGCTGCTGGTTATGGGACTTGGGGTGTGGCTGGAAGAAATGGGAAGGCCCTGTGTCACCTTGCCTGCACCGTCTTAGCTGCAGGAATGGGGGTCTTTCACATAGGCACTGTCTTGTGTTTCTAGAACACTTCCAAGTTGGTTGTCTTCCTTGCACCTGCAAAGAGGGTTGTTTTTATTTTTTCAAGATTTACTGGTTTATTTGAAGGAAAGGGAAAGAGAGGAGAGAGCTCTTTCATCCACTGGTTCACTCCCCAAATGGCCTCAATGACCAGGTCTGGCCCAGGCCTAAATCAGGAGCTCAGCATTCCATCGAGGCTTCCCACTTGCGGTCAGGGCACTGGGGCCATCTTCTGCTGCTCTCCCAGGTACATTAGCAGACGGGAGCATACGTTCTGAGACAATATGGGATGCTGGCATTGCAGGCTTCACACACTGTGCCCCAGTGCCAGGCACCGGGAAGAGAGTTCTGTTGATCAGTATGGGAGGAGACAGTGTTCATTCAAGGTTTAGCAAACAAAATGGAAAAGTGTTGTGAACTGACTAGCTTACCTCTTAATCCATCTTCAAAGGGGCCATTTTAGGAGCATTTGCTTTTTTGAAAAATGGTCTAGTGGTATTCCGGGACTCCCAAGCTCTCGAGAGGAACCCTTCTCAACAGGTACGGTGAGCAGTACTAGGAGCTTGGTGGTTGGTTGCAAAAGTTCATGTCTCAAGTGTAAAGACACAGGACACCACCGGACTCCAACACACAGAGGAACCCACATTTGCATGCTGGCTCCATCTCTGTCTGGCAATGTGACCTTGGACAAGTCATCCAATCTGCATTCTCACTGTGAAATGGGCCCATTGTCTCCTGTCTGCAGGGTTATAGGAAGGGCTCTAGTGAGATATCAGGCACAAATTGTTGACAAAGTGTTAGTGGGGCCTGGTGCGATGGCTCTCTTGGCTTGCAAGCAGCAAGATCCCCTGTGGGCACTGTCTCATGTCCAGGCTGCTCCACTTCTCATCCTACTTCCTATTTATGACCTGGAAAAGCAGTAGAGGATGGCCCAAAGCCCTGGGACCCTGAGCCCATATAGGAGACCCAGAGGAGGCTCTTGGCTCCTGGCTTTGGATCAGCTTAGCTCTGACTGTTGCAGCCATTTTGGGAGTGAACTGGCAGGTGGAAGATTTTTTCTTCTGGCTCTCCTCTCCGTTCTGCCTTTCAATAAAAACAAACAAATAAATGAAAGAAAATATCAGTGACAGGGGCAGTGAGTCGCCACACAGCTCTGGAGTGCAGTTGGTAGTGAGCACTCCTTCGCTCCATGTGCAGAAGGGACTCTGTCGCCCCTAGTGGCAGCCAAAGGATGAGAAAAACAAAGCAACCGAGGCAGGAAGTGCTGGTGAGCTCTGGCTCCATGCGCCAGTCACTGTAATTTTGAGCAGGTTATAGAGCCTCTGCCTGCTCATCTGCAGGCAGGGAATTTCAGCTAGTTCCCACGTCTCTGCCTCTGTGCTTCTCCAACATGAAACAAACACAACTCGGCAGGTGAAGTCGCTGCGTGGAACCCCCACATCCCCGTCGGAGTGCCTGGCTCAAGCCCAGCTACTCTATCAGCAGTTCAGCTTCCTGCCACCAAAGTGGGAGACCCAGCTGGTGTTCACAGCTCCCTGCTTCATCCTGGCCCTACCACAGCCTCTGTGGCCACTTGGGGAGTGAAGCAGCAGATGGAAGATCTCTCTCTATTCCTCATTCTACCTTTCAAATAAACAAAAAAATTAAGGGGCGGGAGGATGGGCATTTGGCCTAGTGATGAATACGTGGCAGCTCATATTTGGAGTGACGGGGTTTGAGTCACCCTGAATTCCAGTTTCCTGCTAACACAGATACTAGGAGACAGCAAGCAGTAGAACCAATGGCTGGGTTTCTGCTATCCCCGTAGGAGAGCTGAACTGAGCTCCTGGCTGCTGGCATCTGCCTGGCCCAGCCCTGGCTGTTGTAGGGATTTAGGGAGTGAATCGCGCCTAGGACATATCTGTCTCTAAAAATAAGTCTTAAAAAAACAGTGTTTGTGAAAGTATTAATGGTTCCCTAGTTTTACAAATGCACTGTAATTACGCAGAACAGTAACATTAGAAGAGATAGGAAGAGGGTGCATTGCACTCTCTGTATTGTCTTTATAACTTCTTTGAGCATCTAGAATTATTTAAAATGCTACTTGTTATTAACAAACTTTTTTATAAGTTTATTTATTTAAAATAGCATTATCTCATGGATGATGTTAATACATTTAGATGCAAAAAGTTTCACAGTAAGCACTCAGTAACTGCCACTACAGATGTTTTTTGATTTGTTCATTCATTTATTTATTGGAGAGACAGACAGACAGACACAGAAAGAGAGAGAGAGTTCCCATTTGTTGACTGATCCTCCAAACGCCCACCATTGGGCCAGGATCAGGCCAGGCCAAAGCCACGAGCTCAGTGCAGGTCTCCTATGCTGGTGGCAGGTGCACATTAGTTGGACCATCACACACTGCCTCTTGGGGTGCACACCAGCAGAAAGCCACAGTCGGGAGCCGGAGGTGGGACTTGAACCCAGACAATTGCTGTGGGACCTCAGCAGTTTAGTCACTGGGCCAAGGGACTGCTGTGGCTCTATTTTTCACAGCAGTAGGAAATGTTGCTATTCTGCCACCATCCTCTTTTAGCACCACCTATTTGGGCAGGGAAGGGCAAAGGGGATGGCCCTTATTCCTCCCAGGGGCTCATTCCTGCCCTCTCCCTCAGTCCTGGCAGGTGTGAGTCCCAGCCAGGGAGGGATTCTGGACCTGAACAAAATGGTCAGGCAGATGACCGGGAAGATACCCTTCCTCTCCTACTGGCCCTATGGCTGTTACTGTGGCCTCCGTGGCAGAGGCCAGCCCAAGGACGCCACAGACTGGTAAGTCCCTCATTAAGCCTGCAGGGAGTCAGGAGGACACTTGTATCCTGACCCTGCCCTGCCCCAGACTCTCCCTTCTTTCCTACCCTTCTATTTATAAGCAGAGTCATCTTGTTTGGAATCTACCATGTGATAGGCACTTGCAATGCAGATTTCGTTCCACCTTGCTGGAGCTGACCTTCTAGAAGTTTCCCCAGAGCTCTGGAGTCCAAACAGCCTTGAATCCTCATCCCCTAATCCAGAGGCAGCTCCCTCACTTGCCCCAGTACCAAGGCATGACGGCTTTAAAAACACCTTTTTCACAACCGTCCTGGAGCCACCAGAGCCTGGGCCCGCTTCCCCAAGCCTCCACTCCCAGGCCACATGGTCTGGACCAAGTGGCTTGAGCTCTCTGGGTCTCAGCTTCTTCATCCGTGCAATGGGGCTAAGAGCAGCACCTGTGATGTCGAAGAGAGAGCAGACTCCAGCAGGTGCTCAGGGAGTGCTGGCTCCTAGGCTCCTGAAGGCCATGGCTCTTCCCCAGGGGACGCCTGGCTCCTCTGTCAAGGGGTGGGGGCAGACACAGCCTCTCTCAAGTCAGCCGGGAACCCTGTCCACCCTGCAGGTGCTGCCAGGTCCATGACTGCTGCTACTCCAAGCTGAAGAAGACCCATGGTTGCCGTACACTCAAGGACCATTACAAATACAACATCTCCCAGGGAATCATTCAGTGCTGTGAGTGGGGGTGCCTCGGGCTTGTGCAAGCTGGGGAGCCATGCACTGCATGCACTTTGCCTCTCTGTTCTCAGAGGTTCAGGGCAGCAGCTGGGCTGGGGGTGAGGAAAGGGCAGGGTTGGGTGGTGATGAGAGAGGGTCTCCAGCACCCCGAAGCCAGGCCCGCCACTACCGACCCTGTGCACCTGACTTATCAGAATCTTAGCATCATATGTCACCCACCAGCTGGGTCTCACTGATCCAGGAGGTGCCGAAACCCATGGGGGTGTCTCACAGGCAAGGAACTCAAACTGCGACCTGGGGTCGCCAGCCTGTAAATGACAAAGCCTGGCCCCCAAACCAGATCCTCCGGTCCCTGTAGCTAAGCTGATACTGCCAGCATGGAGAAAGGTGGTAGATTCCAGGGCTGGGAGTCCAGAGGCTTCATAGTAATGCCGATGCCAGAGGCACCCAGCACTGATGGTGAATGTCCTGTGGTGTGAACAGCTCTGCCTTCCCACAGCCCCACGGGAGATCCTGCCATTGTCCCTGCTTGGCAGACAGTGAGCCAGGGCCAGTGACATCCCTCCTGCCTGCGGTCTTTGCACAGCCTGTCCCACCTACTTGGAGCCAGCCACTCCCCAGTGCAGCTGGCTTTCTCTTGGCCCTTTCCTGTCTAGGTTCAGCTGCATCTTGATGCCCTTGTCCCATCCTGCAGAGCAGCTGGCTTATTCACACAATTCCAGTATCTGTTTCCCCGAGTGTCCCTTTTGTTGAGTCCCTTTAGATATTCAGCAGTTGCTTAGGGAAGTGGGGAATCTACCAATACAAGAACAAGCGTATGCAGTGGTGTCAAGGTTGTTGGGTTCTTCCGAAGCTGAATGGGGGGCGATGCTGCCTCCAGAGACACCCCAGCCCTGCACCAGCTCTGTCTTGGGAAGGGACACAATGAGGGGCGATGCTGCCTCTAGAGGCACCCCAGCCCTGCACCAGCTCTGTCTTGGGGAGGGACACACACTGAGGCCTCACCTCTCCTTCTGCAGCTGACGAGGGGAGCCTGTGCGAGCAGAAGCTGTGTGCCTGTGACAAGGAGGTGGCCCTCTGCCTGAAGCGCAACCTAGACACCTACCAGAAACACCTGCGTTATTACCGGCACCAGCAGTGCACCGGCAAGACCCCCGAGTGTTAGAAAAAGCCTCCCCCTATATCCCCTTCTGGAATGTCCAGACCTCCCTCCCCCATAGCCAATCCCTGCAAGAACTGGCACACCCCCTAGAGGAATGGGTCCCAGTTCCCTGCCACTCCATGCTCCTCTGTCTTCCCAAATCCTCTTGCAATCTTGCCTGCTCCTAGAACGGCCTGGGACCCTGGAAAACCCCAGGTGGGGAGCCTGCAGGGATGACATCTGGCCAGCACAGTAGAGATGGGGTAAGGGTCTTCAGTGCAGACCTGACTCCTCAGCACTGCCACCCCTCCTGTATCCTCTCCAAGCTGCTGCTTGTGACACCTTGCTGAAGGTCACTGTGGGTCTTCTTGTTTGTGTGGGTCTCTTCCCAAAGCCCCAAGGGGCTCTGCTGCTCAGCAATCAAGTGCCCCCTCGCCCACAGCCTGGCCTTGGTTGCTCTCCCTAGCCAGGCTCAGAGGTGCCTGTGAGGGCAGCCCGGCCTGAGTTGGATGCGTCTCAAGCAGGTTGGGGTGGGAGGGAGTAGGTAGTCTTGCAGAAGTACTCCAGTGCCCCCCACTTGCAGCCCCCCAGGGTGGACTGTGTAGACGTCTTTGGGGAAACAAGCCCTTGCTGATGCCTAACCCTCTCTCAGTTCTTCTAGCATATTCTGGAGCTGATATATACCAGATTTTCTCTGGAGTGGTAACTGGGACTTCTCTGCTCCTCCCCTGCTAGACCCGAGATCATGTCTGTCTCCTCCTTGTTTTTCCTGCTTCCCCCCATAACAAGTGCTCAGTTGACACTTGTGGGTCAGATAGGCCTGTGACCAAAGTCAGAGGTTTTAGCAGGTGTTGTTGTTGCCCCATGTAGATTCCTTCCTACACCAGGACCCTCTCACTGGTCGGAGCTGGACCCTGGCTACTAGACACACCAATCAGCCTCCTTCTCAGGAGCATCCTGGCCCACTGTGATCCACTTCTTCCCAGCCCCACTGCCACCTGCTGGAGGCATCAATGCAGAGGCGACCCTGCCGAGAGGGGCAGGCACGACGCGGAGGGCTAAACCTCTGCTTGAACACCCGAGCCCATTTGGAGCACCTGTTTAAGTCCCAGCTGCTCTTCTTCTGCTCCAGTCCCATTAATGGACCTGGGTATTTGTTAGCTCCTGCCACACACTGGGGAGACCCAGGTATAGATCCTGGCTCCTTGCTTAGGCCTGGGCAGGCCCTGTCAGTTGCAGTCATTTGGGGATTGAACCAGAAGATGGAAAATCTGTCTTTCCCACTGTCTCTATTCCTCTACCTTTCAAATAAATAAACAAATCCACACACACACACACACACACACACACACACACACACACACACACACTTCCATGAATGGAACCACCCAGCCCCTTTCCCTGGGCAGATTTCTGGGTGGGGAATTGCTCCAGCCATCTCCTGGGAATGCGTGGGTCTCCGCCCTGGAGACTCCTCCTGCACTACAGCTCTGCTTCCCCTCGCCCTCTGGCCTGGCCTGTTTTCCTGGTTCCCCACAGGTTTACTCCCTCAATAAATCCCTTGCACTAGATGCTGTCTCGGCCTGTGCATTCAGGGCACCTGACTCCATGCAGCTCCCTGTGGTACACAAGGACCCACACACTGTCCCTCCCACTGTGTCTCATGTGTGATGAAATGTGCTTCTGGCCGGGATGCAGAGGTACCTGGGGCCACCCACACTCTCCAGCCTGGGATGTGTACCCGGGCCGCAGCTGGAAGAGCGGTTTTGCTAAAGCCCAGTGGCCCTGGGGAAGCCACATCACCATAGGCTCTGGACGCACAGTCCTGGGACATGTACCCTCGGGTGGGTGAGAGAGGGTGTCAGGCTAGAATCTCTGCTTTTTGTTTTATTCTGGTGGTACCACTGACCCACTAGGGATCTTACATGAAGGATCTGTCTCCTTGTGTGAGAAGCACAAAGAGCAATGTGAGCGCTGAATGGGATCTGTGTAGGCGAAGCTCTTAGGTGTCTGCCCAGTACAGGACAGAGCCTGCTTCCATGTGACCCATAGGATGCTGGCCGTTGGTAGGTAGTGAGTTCATCTGAAGTCACTTCTGGGGAGACAAGGGGAGAAAGGAGGTGATTAGTGGTCCCCCACCCCTTCTCCAGCCCAGCCGCAGAGGAACAAATCCCCCGGATCAAGACACACTCATAGGAGCTGGTGACCCTTGTGTCCATCAGGTCCCCTGGGCACTCTGCACCATCAGCTATCTACACTCTGCCCGGGAGGCCCCTGTGGCTCCCAGAGAGGCTGGGCACCCTCTGAGATCCTGCCACCAGCAAGAAGCAAAGCCACGATGTGCCCAGACTTTCCACTCTGCGTCCTCATGGGTCCAGAAGCTTCCAGCTGCAAACTGGAGTCACAAGGACATTAGCAATCCCACCCGACAAGTCCAGGCAAGAGCACTAAGTAGGGTACTTCTCCGGCTTTGGGGTGTCATCAGAGCAGGGTCTCCCTCGGCCCTATCTGGGCCACCCTCATGATGTTTGTTCTGCCCAAGCCTGCCTTCCCTCCTGGCTTCAAGATGGCAGCCTTCATTCCAGACCACAGGCCAGGACGTGGCAGCACATGGGGGAGAAGAGGTTGTGAATTCTGTCCTTCGTCTCCCCACCACCCCACTGCCCAGCACACTGCCCTCGAGCCTGGTAGTCCTAAATCAATGGTGGTCCAGGACTGTGGAGTTACCCCAGTGGTTTGGATTCCTCAGGACCCATTTCTACTGAGAAGGAACCAGGATCAGCATCTTTCTCTGAAAAGAGGAGACTGAGACAGTGAGGCTGCTGGAGCTGCTGATGGGGTTCGTGTCCAGTGGGCAGGTCCAGGGCTGAGGGGTGAACACGCATGGGGTAGAGGCATGGCTGGGAGCAGGGCAGTGCCTAGAACCACCTCGTCGCCTGCTGCAGGCCCGGCAGCCCAGATGACCGATCACCAGGGATTTGATGAGTGAATGAGTGAATCACAGATGGTTAAAGTCACGGGATTGAGGATTAGGAAGCGGATGGGTTTGTGGGTTCCACAGTGAAGAAAGAGCCCACTCCCTCCCCAGCCCTACGACTCCTGCACTGAACCAATTTCCTGTTATTGAAATTGGACAAGAGGCACAAAGGAAGGTGCGAGTCCCAGGAGAGTGTGGGTCCTCCACCTGCATCACCCAAAGACCCTGGATGGGGGCTGGTGATGCGCCATAGCGAGTAAAGCTACTTCCTGTGATGCTGGCATCCCATATGGGCACTGCTTTGAATCCTGGTTGCTCCACTTCCAATCCAACTCCCTGGTAACAGTGTGGGAAAAAAAAATATCAGAAGATGGCTCAAGTATTTGGGACCCTGCCACACATGAGAGACCCAGACAAAGCTCCTAGATCCTGGCTTCAGCCTGGCCAAGTCCTGCTGTGGCTGCCATCTGGGAAATGAACCAGCAGGTGGAGGACCTCGCTCTCTTTCTGAAACTCTTTCAAATAAATGAACTTTAAGGGAAAAAAAAAAAAGACCCTGGGCGAAGGAGGTAGAGATGGGGACAAAACCACCATACTTTCTGTTGGCTCAAGTTTTATGAGGCACCCCTCAGGGGCAGGGTGGTGGGCACCACGCATCTATGCTGTGCCCCCAGCTTCTGCACTTCCTCACTACGCTGGTGTTGGTGCCCAGCTTTGGCAGCTGCAGACACTGAAACGCCCAGCTGAGTCAGCTGCTGACGAGTGCCAGGCCTGGAATTCAGACCCAGGCCTCCCCGGCCCCAGGGCTGCATGCCACCCTGCCTCCCACATTCCTTACCAGGACAGTTCCCAACCCTAGCAGTGGGCGCCTGGGAAGGGACAGGCTGCTTCCAGGGACAATACAGTATGTGTGTGTGGGTGGGGGGGGATGGTACAGAAGGCTCGCTGCTGGAGCAAAGGGCCACCACTGATGGGGAGAGTTCCACCTCCATAAAGGGTGGAGCCCCTTGCTACTCTGGGCTGTGGAATCCCACCTCGAGGGCCCAGTGGTGGATGCCAGCTGGATCTTGTTCTCCAGGACCCAAACTTCCTGCTCCCCTGCCCCCTGGGCTCTGGCTGGAGTGTACAGGGCAACCTGAGTGCTTCTGCCTGTCTCAATGTCCTCCAGAGGGAGATGGGGAGCAGGCCCTGGTCTCCTGACTCACACCTGAGGTCAGCACTGGAGCCAGCAGGAGCCCAGGGCCACTGGGACAGCCCCGCAGGGGACCTGGCTTGCCCTCTCCAGCTTCCAGTCCTCTCTTGGGGGGGTGTGTTTGTGTGAGAACATGTGAATTTGTGTGAATATCTATGTGAACGTGTCTGTGTAAACGTGTGTGTGATTTTCTTTTTAATAAGATAAAGTAGAGGTTTTGAAATAATCTGAGAAAGTTTAAAGCAGCTCTGAGAAGCCCGACCCAGAGGGCTCACCACCCCACGTCTGCTCTGGGTACCAGCCAAGCCTCACCCACTGGGACTCCTGCCGCCTCTGGGCTCTGGGGTGTGACCAGCTCCTCCGGCTCCAGAGCTCGGCTGCCCTCCAGAGCTCACCCCCCAAACCTGAAGCAGCCACCCTCCGCCCATCCTGGCGAATCCCTGATGCCTTCGCCTACTTTTTCTATTTTTGTATGTATGTGTGTGTATTTTATTCAGAAGCAAAGATAGACATAAAGACTAAACTCCCACCTGCTGACTCACCGTCCCCAAGAGCCCCCCCGACTTGGCCAGGTTCAAGCTGAGAGCTGGATCTTGGGGTCCCACAGGGGCGGCAGGAATCTGACTGAGCCATCGTCCCCCACCTCCCAGAGCAGGACCACATCCCAGTGTCAGCAGTGACGCCAGGGGCGGGCTGGCCAGTGAAGGGCTGAGCAGATGCTGACTGGCTGGCAAGCTCATTCCGTCTCTAGCCACTGGGCTCCTTCCCAGCCTTGTGACTTTGGGGCTCATGGATTTACTTCTCTAATGGGGAAACTGGGACCAGACCCTTCTCCTTTTCTGATAAGCAGTGAGGAGGTGGGAGAACAGGGTGGACAGGGTGGGCGGGCAGAGAGCCAAGAGGGCAGGTTGACCAGTGTCCTCTCCTGGGTTGGGGAAGAACCACCTCATC